CAATCAAACTCGATAAATCGAAAATTTTTATATTTATTATCGATAACGATAAAGACCTTTTAAAAAAAAATATAATAAAAGTTAATACGATGTATAAAAAGAAAGCGGAAAAGGTTAAACTAATAGATTTAAAAGTATTAGATAAAAAGATACTTAGAAAGATCGACGATTAGTTTAAGCAAGATAAGAAAGCGAGACTTTTTAAGCTTAAAAGACCTTTTTCGGAATACTTTACTAGCAAGTTTTCAAACTTAAAAGTTAGATCAAGATTAACGAAAAAACGATTCGAAGCACTTACGATTAGCTTTTAAGTCATTTCGAAAAAAAAAAAGCTGCTTTATTAATGCCTTTTGAATCGAGAAAAAGCGATAGCTTAAGATTTTACTTATCTTAGCCAAGTTCAGAAAAAAGTTATACTACTTTAAAAGATCAAGACGGTACTTTACGAAGTTTAATAAAAAAAGACGTTTACGGTATCGAAAGCTTTATAAAAAATAGTTATTTTTATGCTAAAAGAGCGATTAAAGCAAAAGGTCTTCGAATTATACTAAGGCTTTTATCGGAACAAGTAGTTTATTATAACAAAAAAAAAAAAAGAAAATATAAGTTAATTATTACCGTAATTAAGATGAACCGTATAACAGTTAAGGACGTTAATATTACTTTGAACGTAAATTAGTTCTCGAACGAATTTGCCGGTCTTACGATAGTTATACTCTTGGACTTCTTTTTTAAATACGATCAATTCTTTTTCGACGTTGAGTTTAAAGATATAATAGCTATTTAAACGCTTATCGAATTGCTTCGGATAACTCAAATACTTATAAAAGCTATTAATTCGATCGCTTAATTCGTTAAAGTCATTTATAAGATCCTTATAGATTGTATTTCTAACGTTTGCTTGCTTTATATAAATAACGTAAAAGTCAAAAGGTCGCGATCCTTTTATAATTACGAAAAAGTTTTATTCGAAATACAACGATTCGTTTTAAAATATATTTAAAACATTAATAAAGTATTCGTAAGGTTTAAAAGAGCTAAGACGACCGTCGGAACTAAGTCTTAATATTATATGCTCGGCTTTAATATCGTTAGATTCGTTACGGATAGCGAAAGACGCTACTTTTAAACCGTTAAAATTAAAAAGATATTAAAATAAATTAAGTGCGAAGATGTATCGAAAGCTCGAGCTTTTATTAAGATCGTAATATATTATAGAATTTAAATCAAAAACTTCTTTACGATTGCTGCTTTAATCTACGCGATTATAAGAAAAAGGGTCGAATTCGAGTAGTTAAAGCTTTATAATGCTTACTAGCACTAAGATCAAGAGGAGATTCTATGGATTGAATGAAGCTTGGTATATTTTATTTAAGAAGCTCGTTAAGATCTATGTACATGTACTTAAGAGCTCTAGTGTGCTAAGGGCGCTATTAAGCGAGGTTACATGACATGTCATATATAGCTTAAGTAAAGCATGCTTGTTCCGCATAACATACTCTTTAAGTTAGCAAAACAGCTATTAAGTTGCAAGCAAACAAAAAAGAAAAAAAAATAAGTGATTAAGCTTTTTAAACTCGATGTAAATAAAAGAGATTATTATCGTAGTCTAAAACAAACAAATAACGGTTGTCATTATTAATTGAGTGTTAATTAAGAATGCAATTCCTTTTTAAGTCGGTTTTATTACGTAGCGGAAGTCTTTAGCGCCGTCCTTATCGCGTTGCTATATAAGTAAAAGCGCGTCCGTTTTTATTATAACAAACACTTAATCTTTATCTATTTATATAATGCCTTTTAAGCAAGTAACTCAATCTAATAGAATCGTTAAGCGCGGCCGAGGCCGTTTAAGAGTAAGTGCTCTTGACAGATTAATATATTTATGCTAACTATTAAGAGAATCTTTTTTTTGCTTTAGCTATTGCTGCTGCTGCAATTGCGGCGGCTGCGGCGGCTATACTTCGCACTCTTACCTTCGAACCTTCGCCCTTTTTTCTAGACCTTTTTATCAAGCGCTTGCTTATGCCGACGACCGTTAAGGCTTTAAAGTGTATTAAGTGTATTAATAATAAGATTACATCGAAGTTTAATAAAGACTATTATAATTGCGATACGAGCGTTATACGTTGTCTTCGATATATTAAAGGTAGCTGTTGGATTGCTTCCAAGCGATTGGGAATATATATTCGTAAGGTCGTAACGGTCGTCAAAGTACTTGCAATTGCAAAACACTCGGTTGATAAGGTATCTGAATTCTAACTGCTCCCCAAGATTCAGGGGAGTTGATTCCTTCTATAGGACTAGAAGGAATCACGTGCACTAGCTAACTAATAGGTCTACTTGTCAAGTTAGGGGTCCCTTGACTGCTGGCATGCTAAGCGAAGCATGCCAAGTGGCCCGTAAACCATGGTTCACGGGTGAGCTTCCTCAACTACTACTACTACTACTACTAGCTAGCTAAGGTCGATATGGATATACCGACACCGGCAACTCTCTCTTTGGCAAGCAGTGCCTTGCCAACTACTATATCGACCGAAAAAGAAGGAAGGTAATCAAACAAAGGAAAAACAATCTCATCCCTCCCTCTCTTACAGCGGCCTTTCCACCTACCCGTCCACTTGCACCTTCAAGGTATTGGTCAAAACTAGCTCTTGCAAAGAGGTATTGGCCTCGACTTTAGTCATGGCGTCAGCAGGGTTGGATTTTCCTCCGATCTAGCGTACCTTAGAGAGCTCCCGCTTCTCGTATGACTCCCGAATAGCCATAATATCGATCATGAGGCGCTTCTCTTTGGTAGTCCCCAGCTTTACTATACACTCGTAGAGCGAGTAGGAGTCAGTGCACACAACCACGAGGAAATTGGGGATCCTTAGCTGAGCTGTGATTTAGGCAAAGGTAGTCGACATAGCAATGGCCATATCGATACCTAGGGACATAGCGTATAGCTTAGAGGCTAACACCGCCCTTGTCACCCTCTTGCACTTCTATGACACCTAATAGAGGATGTTACTCGTCAGAGTGAACTCGTTCTCACTTACGTGAGCCTTATTGCTAAGGATAGCTACGAAACCGATCTGGGAGCTAAGGTTAGCGTTGTTGGCAAACGCTCCGTCCACGAATACAAAGAGCTTCGCCGTCCTTAAGTCCAAGGGTACGTAGTGGATCCCTCGAGTTGGGTGATCAATCAGCTACTGGATCACCTTATTGAGGGCTTTATAGTCCTTATCCCTTGGTTCCTGGTGCTGGGCAGCTATCGATAGAGCGCAAGATGCCTCTGAGTAGCAAATGGTAGCTAAATACGCCCTTCGGGCACGTTGCTCCAAGTACTCCTTAGCCCGTGTGGCTGAGTCGTGCTTGATCACGGCAAGCCTCTTACCCTGTCTTTTCTGCTTAATTAACAGCCCGAATCCGTCTTTATCCAAGGATAGTTTGCATCTATTGAAAATCATCGGTTCGGCGTGTGTGAGGGTCTCTATTTCCTTGCTCTTCAGCTTGGATTTGACCAGCTCCCTCTTTTCCTTTGCCCTCATAGCTGGATTGATAACCATAAGAACATCATCCGTCTGTAGGGCAGCTATTCTTAGTTGATCTTTGTTGGTTGATACAAAGAGGCAAGAGTCAAAGCTCGATTGCTTTATGCCGAGGTTGTCTGTGAAGTGCTCGGAAAAACGCTTATACTAGTGCGTTCTTGCCTCGGGGATGCCGTATAAAGGGCCAGTCATAAGGAACAAGGTGCCGGGGGAGAATCGATGGGTGATCTCCTTAGGTGGTCGCACGACGATTATTCGTATGAGCTTCGTGCTTGATTGAGTGTAAGCCTGAGTGATATCTCTGCTATAGACTTGACACCCGTAGTCCTTTATCAGCGAAGGAGCCAGAGCACAACAGAGTCTTTGGCCCGCTCGCTGTACCGTAGGGGACTCGGTGAGTACCTTCGTCTTGCCTTTATCTTGGAAGGCTTAGACCACTATACGAGACTTCTCGTATAGCGTGGGTATTCCCTTGCCCTTGATCTCGTCAACAAACCTAGATCCAAAGATCCTAGCGCCTTTAGCACGTGGGTCGGTGCTCGGGATCACTTGGAGGATGCCTTGAGCTATTAATCTTGCCAATTCCTTTGCTTTAGACTCTTGGAACGGTGCCCCGGGGCTCTTGATGATTCCTTCGGCTCGTAGCTTGGCTGAGAGCTCATGGTCCCGGCGTTCCTTGTCGGTAACAAACACCTCGGAGTCCTTGGTGAATAGAACGTAAGAATCGTCTTCCTCTTCATCGGGCACGGTCGGGATACTAGGATCGTACTTCTAGTAAGGTATCTAGACTATTAGTATTGTTGACTTCTGGGGATTGACAAGTTGAGGGTTGGGGGGGCTGTTTGCTGATCTTGGCGGGCTTCTTGGATTAAGCGACCTCGGTGGATTAAGCGAATGTTGAGGTTTAGGCGAATTTCGTATTTCCAGCTTTTTTTCGCTTTCGCTTTGATCTTCTTCCACCTCTTCTTCCACCTCTACTTCAGGTACTTGCAACTCCTCTGGCAGCTTTTCAACTTCAGAGTAGTAAGGTTTTACTGAGGTTGACCTGAATTCTGTAGGCCTCGGACAAGCCATTGTGCACGTGTGCCCTTGCCTGCTAAGCAGCTGAAAGGGGCCCTTCTACCCTTGATTCTCCCGCCACACGAGTACTTGTGAGCCAATAAGGAGGTCCAGGGTATGCTCCGTAACTGGCCTATTCCTTTTTTTAAGCGCGTCCCTAACCTGCCTCGCTGCGTAGCATTTTCGTACTTCCCTTATAGCCTTGTTGATAGCAGCAGCACGCTCCTGGGTAGACGCGGCAGGTCGATCTTGCTCCGTCAGCCTCGGTAGAGTCCCAAAAACGAAGAGTGTAGGAACCAAGCCATTAAGTCCAGCTGTATCGTTGATGGCTTTGATAGCCATTTGAAGCCGGTCTTCCCTTGGGGCTTTTGGAAGCTCCTTTATGACGATCTCAAAAGCGCGTCGCACAAGGACGTGGTAGCGTTCTACTAGCCCGACGCTGTAATGGGCTTCTATAAGCATCTGCTTTAAAGTGCTGCCAATACTTTTAAAGTAGCTTCGGAACGTTGCCGAATTGAAGTTGGTTCCGGGATCGTGCACGACGTTTGTAAGAGGTCCGACGTAAGTATTAACTTAACATCGACTGAATCCCTTAAGTAAGTGCTGTGCGGACATGCTTTTAAGGAAGGTAGCGGCCTGAAAATTAATAGAATCGCAGACGACGTGCAATACGTTCTTGCCGTTAAAGTGCATTACGTCCACGTATACCGTATTATTAAAGTCCGTATCATCCTTAAGCTTGATACTAAACCTCCTCGGGGAGCGTCCGAATACTTGGCAGTGGTGGCAAAACTTTTGAATGTTATAAAGCAAATCCCGTCTGAATTCGTGCCCGGCCCTTTTAAGAACAGCAGCAAATCGACTTGCTAAAGGGTGGCCAAAACGCTTATGGATGATCCTTAATTGCTCTTCCGTAAGGTGGCAGTAGACGGTCTCGCCCTCGGTGCTGTAGTAAGTAGCAGCGTGCTCTTTACTTAATAGCATCCACACGTGTCCAAACATCCTTATCACTAGTATTTCCCTTTTCCTTTGGATTAGCACGTTCCGCAAGTTATCTAGGATCATCTTGTACTTGTCTATGTCAGCCAACGAAAATAAGAAAGGTACGTCGCTCTCCACAACGTGGAACTCCACTTGACCTAGGGGGGTATCCAGGGTAACTGCTCTAATAGAGGTAACAAAACCGATCCTGTATTTGACGGACTTCTCCCTTGCTCGAGATGTATCTAATTAGACCTCGAAGTACCTCTTTTAGAGTGCTCGTAGCTAGGGCAAGCTAGCGGTAGAGAAATTGGCTGCTCCGCTGTCAATCATGAAGCCTATGAATACGTTTTTAAAGTACTTAGAGGCTATGTAGGTCTCTGCTTTACCCGTGGGCACGTTTTAGGTCTCGATTTGGCTGGTAAGGGCGTGGAATGCCGTTTGAATCTCTAGTTGCTTATATACTTCGTTAGCGTCAAAGGTGCCGTGGGTAGTCACAAAACCTTCTAACATGTTGGCGTAGCTGCCCGATTCGGGCGGCTCGTCTGGTAGGCCTGCGATAAACTGATCGAATTCTTCCGTGGATACAAGTGGCAAACTTTCGATCGACGTTACATACTAGGAAAATTTGCTCTTCGTCACCCTTTTTGCGTCCTTAGAGCTCTGGAACTTGGCTACGGAAGCCTTGCGCTCGTCGGGGGTGTGGTTGGTGCTCCAGCAACCTGGCTTCTTGCAAACAAAACACCTTTTCTCACCCTCAATAGCCTTGGCAGCTTTTTTACCTTCGAAGTACTGGCGGTCTTGAATAAAACATTCGTATTCCTCGTCCAAATCGGAGTCAGCCTTTGAGGTGTTGTGAGAGCAGGTGTGCTCGTGTGGCTCGCTAGAGCTCGCGTAAGCTCTAGCCTTAGCGGGAGGTCGGGAGGTCTCAGTTGCAAAGGCAATTGCTCGACGAATGTCAGCAACTGCCGCGGTGGAGGTAAAAGCAGGATTCATTCGTGCAATCGTAGTCTCTGGCACGTTTTTACAAGCTGAATACAGCTTGTCAGCCAAACTTCGATCATCCCTCAAACCTGGTCGTAAAAAGCCTTGAATGCCTTTGAGCTCCTTAGCGAGCTTCTCAAAGCACTCGTTAAGCGAGGTCCCTGGATTCTCCTTCCTTACCAAATCCAGCGAAATTTCTTCTTAGCGGTCGTATTTTGCTTGCCGCCGGTGGTCGGTCTCGAAGTGGTCCCTTATAGCAATAGCGTTTGCTTTGAACGTCGGAAGCCTGGCTTTGATGACGTGATTGTAGTAAAATGTAATAGCTTCCTCCGTGAGCATAATAGGGAACGCCGCCAAGTAGTCGTCGGAGGTCAAACCGTATCGACTTGCTTGGTCAGCAAAAATCCCTAATTGGGTCTTGAAGTCATCGTCGGGTCTCGAATACTTTAGCTCTTTGGGAAAGCTTCTTGCAAACAAGGCCAACTCCTTTGCTCTTAGGTAAAGGTCTGCTGCTCCTAGCTTAAGGAAGTCATCGCTATCGTCGTCAGGGGCGCTTGGAGTCCCGTACGCAAGCGTGCTGTGCCTGGCTAGTGGTCGGATCGGTAAAGAGTTACCGATATAGTTGCCGGTGGTCCGTCCTCTTCCAGGGTCCTTAAGAGGCTCATTTCCGAATCCGGGGTCCTTTGAGGGTCCGTTTCCGAATCCCCTTGGTGGTCCAGAGGGCCCATTTCTACCCCTTCCGTACCCGTAGCCTCGATCTCCTTGCCAATCTCCCCCGTTTCCCCTTCGTCGGTCATCGTCATAATCGCCAAGGCCATTTGGGTCACCAGCTAGGGCTCCAGCTTGGTGATATCCGTACCCTTAAGCGCGTTCTTGGCGATTCTCATACCCTTAGTCTCCCTCTTGTTGATACGTGGCCTATTGAGAGGTGTGGGTAGCTTGCCGGTACGTCCGAAGGTGCTGGATCCCCCCCTCGGGTTGTTGAGGTTGGGCACGGAAATCTGCACGCTGTCCCTGGTAAGAGCTGATTTTATCCGGAATGCTCTTAGGTTTTGGCGGTTCCTCTTTTAGCGTGTAGCTCTCGTGGCCTCGAGTATTGTCTGGTCCGCTGATGATCCCAGGACCCTTGTTGTTATTGCTACTAGGCCCAGGCTTTCTAGAAAACTGGGTGTAGCTCTTGAGAAAGGGGTTTAAGGGTCGCTAAGGTGATTTTGGCTCTTGTATGATTGGCGTATTGCGTAGCGATTGATGAATTGAGGGTGTCGAATACGCTGAAGTGCTTCGTCGTAGCTCTTCGTTGGATTGTATAGCGTAAGTTCGTAATTCCGCTATTTGCTTTGCCATAGTCTCTATACTTCGTTTCATATCGCTCTTTTCCTTTAAAAACTCCTCCCGTAACTTTCGTATCTCCTCCCCTTCTTCCTTCCTGCTTAAGGTCTCTTTTTCCTTCCCTTTTAGACTGCGCGGGGGTAGAGGTGGTTGAGGTGTAATATCGTCGTCGTCGTCGTCCGTGAGGTTTTCGACGGTCCACCTTGAATCGAGGCCTAGGGGTGTTGCCTGTTGCTCTCTTATTTCTTAGAAGGTCCATTAGTATTGCTGCTCATCGTTTAAGAGCTTGACCATCCTATTGGCGTAGCCCCTTTGCTTTAGGGGGCACCACACGCCTTTGGACAGCAAGTGTTCCTTGAAGCTAATAAAGGTAGCAAACTTAAGGCCTCGTCCCGTATTGTCCTTCGTTATCGTAAAACTCGTCCAATCCTAGCGTGAGAAAGCGTGCCGGAATAGGCTCTATAGGTCGTAATCCTTCAGCCTTTTACACTTCGCGTTTAGGAAGTCCTTTACCATTGCTCGGGCCGTAATCTCACTGTCGGGCCTTGCGTATAGGAGCTCGTTTAAGTCAAATGAGATGCTCGACATCTCATCGTCTGGTTCCTCCGAGAGGCTTGGGAGCCTTGGGTATAGTGTTTCTTTTGGTTGAATAGCTAGGGGTTCCGTGGGTGGTGATGAGATTCGAGGGGTATAATACTTTGCTCTTTGTCGGCTGGACTCCTTACCCGGAGGTCTAGTTGCTCGATCGGCTATAGTTGTTGTCTGTTTGTGTGTAGGTCGATCTAAATTTGGTTGGGTTGCTATATGTAGCAGGCGCGGCTCTTACAGCGTTGAAGTTGTTGTTTTGAAAGTGACTTGGTTCGGAATCACTCTTCCGTAGGAATGGGGAAAGATCGGTAGTATAAGCAAGCGACTTGGTACGGAATCGCTCTTCCGTTGTAAGGGAAAGGTATCGAAGTGTAAGAAAGCGACTTGGTACGGAATCGCTCTTCCGTTGTAGAAGGAAGGAGGTATCGTAATGAAAGGTATCCTCGCTATAGAGTATTCCTAGCTTCTTTGTGATTGATCACTTAGTAGTAAATCAACCACTGATCAGTGTTGGATTGCTTCCAAGCGATTAGGAATATATATTCGTAAGGTCGTAACGGTCGTCAAAGTACTTGCAATTGCAAAACACTCGGTTGATAAGGTATCTGAATTCTAACTGCTCCCTAAGATTCAGGGGAGTTGATTCCTTCTATAGGACTAGAAGGAATCACGTGCACTAGCTAACTAATAGGTCTACTTGTCAAGTTGGGGGTCCCTTGACTGCTGGCATGCTAAGCGAGGCATGCCAAGTGGCCCGTGAACCATGGTTCACGGGTGAGCTTCCCCAACTACTACTACTACTACTACTAGCTAGCTAAGGTCGATATGGATATACCGACAGTAGCTATAGCAATTGCACCGCTGCTTCTACCGCTATTAATACCGCTTTCGATAACTTCGCGAGCGTTAAAGACAATAATGCTATATAAAAAGTTCGCCGGGGTCTCCGAAATGCTATGCGACAATAGCTCGCTTTAAATGCTGCCTTTTCAAAAAGTGCTGCTAGTAATGCGAACGGTCTAACGAATAGAAGTAAAAGTTTTAAAAGTAGTTTCGATAGCCTTATAAGTTTTGCTTTTACTTTTAAGACTTTTAATTTAAATATAGCTTTTATTAGATTGAATAGTCTTGTGGCAGCGAACCGTAGTCCGATGACTCGGAGCGCTTCGAGCATGTCACTCTTTTATAAGTCAAGCTTTTTGACTTTCGAAATAATCTAATTCAAGCAGCTTCTTTTAATTAGAACTTCTTTTCGGACTTTATGCAAAAGCTTTAATCTGCTGTTGTAGCAGCTCTTGCGCTTGCGCTAGCCGCTTTTATTGCTCCCGTCGCTTTCGCTGCTCCCGTCGCTTTCGCAGCTTTCGTCGCTCTCGTCGCACTTATTATCGTCGCTCTTTTTGCGCTAATTGTTACGCTTGCCGCTTTTGCGACGGCGCCCGCCGTTGCTATGACTCTTGCGGAGCGCCGAGCTAAAGTAAAGAGATTGCTAAAAGCTTTAATCGATCTTTTATTATAAGAAGCGAAAGGTAAAAGCGTTTAAGATAAGATAGAATAACGGTTAAGATTATTAAATAAATGTTTTCTTTTGAATCATATGCAAATAAAAATAAAATAAAATATAATAAGTAAATAGCATATGCGTGCTATTAAAGCTTCTCGACTAACGCGCGAGCGTCTTGTAAATTTAAAAGCTTAATAAAGCTCTTAAACTTCTATCAAGTCAAGTTCTTTATAAGACCGTTAGCGTGCATCTCTTTAATAAAAAGATATTAAACTTGAAAGCTTTTTTTAAAGTGCTTTTAGCGCAGCTATATATTGTGAATATCGACGTAGCGAAGCTTAATAGAAATACGCTCTTTTTTACTAGCTATAAGCTTAATTGTTTATTAATTATTATAATAAACTACTTAAAGCGCCGCAAAACGAAGGTGCAGCTTTTTGAAAAACCGTTAAAGCGCTATAGTCTTTTTTATTATAAAAGCTATGCTAAGAAGCTCCGCTTCAATAGATGATATAATGATTATATCTTGCTTTAAAGCTTTTTAAAAGATCGTACTTTCGAATAAAAACATAATATACTTTTAAAAAGATCGCTTTATCTTTTCGTTATCGGCGTAAGAAGCGTCAAAAGCTATTATCAGCTCCGACTTGCTAAACTAGCTGTATTAAATACCTTTGAAGCGCGAGCTAAATAGATATCGCAAACACTAGTTTACAGCTCGAAAATGCTTCGCGCTTAGATTAATGCTAAAGTGAAAGAGTTAAGAAGCTATAAAAGCTATATTTAAGCGTAGCATAATCGCTGTATATAACACGGATCCAACCTTCTCTTAATACTCTTTCACTTGCTTTTGCGAAGCTATCCTTTTATTTTTGATTAAGTTATAAAACGGTAATAGAGTTGCTAAGCAACGTCCGTTTATAAGTTCGAATTTTTTAGCTATTTTTTTAATGTAAGCGTCGTGCATAAGCGTTAGCGTTCTTCGCTAACGGTCTCGAGCGACCTTTATATTAAAAAACTATTTAATATCTCTTATCGCTTCGATCTTATACGCTTTATTAAGACCGTTAATAATCTCTTACGCTTTAAAAAGATTAAAGTGATAATATATAACTTGAATATCGTTTACGTAAAACGCTATAAAAACCGTTTTGTTTAGATTCGTAAAAATACACGGTTCTTTACCAAATAGTATAAGCTTTAATTTATCGAGTGTACTTATGAAATCGAAATATTATAAAGCTAGCGAGTCTTTAAGTTTATATAAAGCTTTATCGACTTTTACGAGCATACCTTTTTGCTTAAAACCGTTAAAGAGATAACACGTGATTAAGACGCTATCCGTATGTCTTATAGCGTTGATAAAAGCGTTAACGATATCGAATTATTTTACTTTTAAGTTAAATTCGACTACTATAGCTATTATGATCTTAAAAGATCTAGCTGCTAGCGTAGCCGCGTAAGTTGAATAGATAGTAGATTCGTTTTAAAAGTTACTTTTAACAACAATCTTCGATTTAAACTTTACGATTTCTTCGGACGAATTAATTTTATATATAAACACTTATTTAAAAAGTATAAGTTTTGACTTAGCTTCGCTTTTAAGAATCACTTTTTAGCAGTTCTTCTTCTTTAAATTATTCAGTTTTATAAGAGCTCCGTCCTTAAATTCTTTACCGTATAAGTGTCGTTATAGCTTTTTTTAATAAGTAAAAGGTTTTAAATGTTTTCGTTCTTACGGGTTAAGCTGTTTTAATAATAGCTTAGACGAAATAGTAGCTGTTATAATAGCGTGCAATGTTTCGTAATCTTTATTATCTTCGCGCACGGGTTCGTTATTAGCTTAGAAAATCGATATAAAATTTAAAACGCGCGAATAGCGGTTCGAATCGGCGCGAAAGTTGTTTAAAAGAAGCTTATTAATACTTGCGTATATCTTCGCGCGTTTTTTAGTGCGGCTATTAATAATTAAGTGCTTTTTATTAAAGTCGGAATTTTATTTAAAGTGTTTATAATTTAATTTCTTATTATTAGTACTCGCTTTAAAAAGGTCTAAAGGCTCTTCTTTAATTGTTCGGTTTAAATCTCCGCCGGTTGTTAACGTAAAAGCTCTTGTTAGTCGGCTTATAACTTAGCTTTCCGAGCTTCGGCTTTAAATAACAACTTAAAAGTATGATTTGCGCGCTCTTTTATTAAGGCTAAGTTTTTGCTCGTTTACGATGCTCTTCTTTGCTTTTAGCAGTCTTAAAGCACTTTCGCCTTTGCTCTTAGCTAAAAAGCTAGCGAAACGTTTAACGGTGTAATTTGAATCGTTAAAGTTTATTAAATCGTTTCGTAAAGCAATTGCTTTTAGTATAAACGTATCTATAAAATCTTTAATTAAAGTTAAAGCTTTTAACGTTTATGCATCGCTCGGATTAGATAAGGTCGTATTCTTTAAGTTTTAATTAGATTTTTTTAAATCAACTTTTATAAAGTTTAACGGCTGCTTACTTTTTATATCAACTGCATTCGTTTCTTTTAAGCGATCTTTTATAACGTTTTTTATATTAAACAAAGCGTCTTTTGTTTAATTAAAGTCTTTAATATCTTTTAGTTTAATAACGATTCTCTTGATCTCGTTAATCAGTTAGCCGACCGATTTTTTCTCGTTTTTAAAATAAAATTAAGTCTTATCGAACGTTACGTTACGTATAACAATTACTTTATAAAGTATAAGAACATAAACCTTATATATATTAAAAGCTATATATTTAATTAAGTAGCTTATATATCCTTTTGATTTAACCTTAAAAGCTTTTTTATTACGAAAAGCTTCTCGGTTCTTGATTATTAAGTACGTACGAGCGTTATACGCAATCAAACCGTTATAATCTGGTCTTAAGTCGGTATCGATCCGTATAAAAATCGCCGGATCGTATTACTTAAAATATTGCTTAAACCAAAGCTATAGCACTTTATTCGGACTCTTTATAAAGCTTTTAACTTTCGATATTATGTTATAAAAGTAGATAGCGGCTAATATAGTTTCAAGCTAAAGCTTTTTTAAAAGCTTTACTTTTACTTTTATTTTAATAGACCGTTTTATTACTTTTCTCTTAACCTTTTTAGCTCTTCTATTAAGTTCGTAATTAAAAGATAATAAAAGCTTTAACTTAATCTTAACCTCTTTCGCTTATCTTTAATATTTAATAGAGCCGATAACGTTGATTGCGATTACCGAAGAATCGTTATTATAGCGCATAACAGCTATTGAAAAACCGTATTTGCGTTTCGTTTATGCTTTAAATTCTTTTAGCACTTTTATAACTATTAATTATAACTTATCTTTTAATATAAAGCCGAATAGCTTCTTATTGTATTCATTTTTAATTATTAACAACCATTTGCTCTTATTAAAACCGTTAAAAAAGTCGAATAGATCTTAAGCGATCTTATAAAATAGCTTAACTGTTTTATTATCCGACGTGCGGCGAAATATGATTTATTAAGCGTGCGTAATAGTATATGCTTTATATTCAACCTTAATGATTCTTTTAAGTCTTACTCTTTTAGCGTTATAAGTTAGCGCTTCGAGCGCTTTTTTGCTTAAATAACTTGTCCGTAAATGTTAAAGTATTAATAAATTTTCTTTTAAAGCTCGAAAGACATTGCTCTTTTAGAATTTATAGCGTATTTGCAAGCGCTTTTAAGTTATAAAGAATATTATTAAGCAAAAGGAGCTACGAATCAATTAAAGTAAAGAATAATTAAATAGCTTGTATTTAAAAAACGTAAAGTTAAACTTCTTTTTTAACTTTTTTAACACAACGCTTTCCTTGACCTTTTCGTAATAAAGAGTTGCGTTATATCTCGAATATTATACGCTAGCTTTGCTTAAAAGAGCTTCCGAGATGATATTAATATTAAACCTTTTAACGATAGCGACGTTTTCTAACTTTAAATCCTTCGTTTTAGCTTTATTTAATCCGTTCAAAGCTTTTTTAAAAACTTTAATACTTCGCTCGACGATTAAAAGACTACTCGTTCTAGCTTCGATAAAATCGATTAAGCGGGAGCGTTAAATTGACTTTAGTTTTAAGAGATTCTTATCGTTAATAAAGTGAATAGCGCCGCAATTGTCGAGAAGAGTGTTGTTGAATAGCTAATGCTTATTATTAACCGTGCTATAAAGACCGTCAAAAGCAAGATTATCGAGCGTACTAAAGAGCTCGAGATCGATGATAGCTATTAACACTTTTTTAAAGTATTTTGATTTATCGCTATCGTTCGATTGCTTTTCTTTACTTTTTAAGACGATCTTATCGACTTGAATCTATACTCAACCTTCTTTCGTAATCTTTTTTTAAAGCGCTTTAAACTTAAGCTCTTAAAGCTTTTTTTTTATAGCGACGATATTATCTCGGTTCGGCTTTGCGAATCTACTTTCGTTAAAACTATTAAAGCAATAGCGAAAGATCTTGCACTTGATTGCGTCTTAATAATAGTTTCTCTTTTTAAAATACGAGCACTTAAAACTTTTAGCAAGTCTTTTAGAGCTATCGGAGCGTTTATCGGACTACTTAAGAGCAATGTCGTTAGCTTTATTATCTTCGAAAGTGTTGCGAGTGGTTTGATTTCCGAAAGTAGCGAATACGCTAAAAAGGTTAGAGTTCGGATTGCTAATCTTCTCTTCGACTTAGCTTTCGTATTAATTAAAGTAGTCGTAAAAAGTGCGCTTTTAAAGCAATAATAGCTCGTCGTTTCGAATGACTTTTGCGAGCTTTAGCGACGCTTAAGTTAAAAACTATTTTTCGCTAATAGCTTTTAAGAATACTTTTGTCGCGAGTGTATCCGTCGTCTCGTAAAGGTCGTTTATCTTCGCTAACTTGTAGATAGCTCGGTGTTCTTTGATCTATACCGTTAGAAAGACGCTTTTTTGCTTAGCTGCTTGCAAAGATTTATTATAGTTTCGTACTATCGATAGCTTAAAGCTCGAGTCGAATAAACAGCATATTTCTTAAAGCTTTTTTATTAAGAATTAAATAAAAGTGTTATCTTCTTTTAAAGCCGCCAAGATCGTTTCTTCGAGAATAGAGCTTTTAACCGTCTTTTTGATCTAATTTATGATTTGATTGCTTTTATTACTTAAAACCTTTTAATTGTTTATAACGAAGTTGTATTCTTTTATATTATCGTTATACGCTTTTCGGACGTCTTCGAAATTAGCGTTTTTTAGTTTTAAAAGTCTGTTAAGATCGTTTGCAAAAGCATTTAAATGCAGTTCTTTTTAAACCTTTCGTTAGCGGTTTTATTCTTAAAACTATTCGTTGTTAAGCTCCGTTACTATTTCTATAGCAGACTTCGTTTTTAGTTTAATCTGCTCGATAAAAAAAGCAGATTCTTTTACGCTAATACGAAGAGATGCGTATTGTTTTATGCTAAAGCGCTTAATAAGGTATTTATAGTTCGTAATCTATCTTAAGAAGTCGCTACGACTTATAAAGTTCGTTTTATTAATCAAGAAGACCTCTTTTACTTTGTCGTCTATTATTGTAGCAGTTGACTTTGTGACTAGAGCTTTTGAAAATTGGTTAGAGTTTTTAAAAATTAATTGGAGTTTTTAAAGGTGATAAGTGTTGATTGTAAAGAATGAATATAGTTGAAAAAAAGACAAATTGCAAAAATGAAAGTTGTAGCAAAGTAGCGTTAAAGTGATTTGCAGAATCCGCTTCCGATTAATTCGAAGGTTGTCAAAGACTAAATGAATAGCTCGTAAATGCGAATGTAGCTTTTAACTATAATGCTTACTAGCATTAAGATCAAGAGGAGATTCTGTAGATTAAATAAAGCTTGATATATTTTATCTAAGAAGCTCGTCAAGATCTATGTACATGTACTTAAGAGTTCTAGTATGCTAAAGGCGCTATTAAGCGAGGTCACATAACATGTCATATGTAGCTTGGGTAGAGCATGCCTGTTCCGCACAACAAGCTTTAATAAAAAGCGATGAAGCTGCTTAAGAAAGCCTTGCTCTTTGCTTTCGCTTTTATTAAGATCGATTATAATAAGGACAAAAGGAAAATTTACTTGACGGTAAACGCTAGTCTTAAAGGATAAAAAGCAGTATTGCAATAAAAGGATTCCGATAAAAAGCGATATCTTATTAAGTTCGAAAGTAATTTTTAAAACTTTACGAAAAGCAAGTACGACGCGATCAAGCGAGAATGCCGCGGTGCTTTAAAAGCTATGAAAAAGATAAAGAGCGAATTATACGAAGTTCATTTTATCTTAAAAACCGACGCTAAAGTACTAATTGATCAACTTAACGGATTAACGAGCGATTTGCTTAAAGCTTTCGTTACGAACTAAATTGCGTAGATAAGATTAATAAACTTTAAAGTCAAGCATATCTTTAAGATTAAAAACACGGCAGCGGACGGTCTTTTTAAAAAAAGAAAAGAGCATCTTTTAGATATTAAAGAAAAAAAAAGAAGATATTAACGATTAAGTTATTAACGAGCTAAATATTATTTTAGTATTTTCGGTTAAACGACTCGTGAACTATAGTTCACGAGCTAAAAAGAGAGTTTTAAAGCACGATTACTCGCTCGACTTTAAGCTTATTGCTTAATTCTTTACCATTTTTAAACGCTTTTCTTCGATTAAGACTTACGACTTTTAAAAGTTTAAAAACAAAGCACTTAATTACTTGGTTAAAAATAGTCACTTTTATAAGCGAGCAGACAATTCCTACTCGATTAAGCTAATTATCGACGGAACTTAAAGACGCTACACTGTTATTTCCGACGCTTACCGAAAATCCGGATATAAAAAAGCTAAATCAACTTATTATCGTACGTTAAAACTATTCTTTTAAAATAGATGCTACGAAGACTGTAAGGCTTTTGTTTAAAGCTATAAGCTTTATTAAAAACGCAAAGCTAAACGAATAGAAAACCTTTTATACTCGACTTAGCTTATTCAAATGTGATTAAAAGTCAGCTTAGACGTGTCACGAGTATTTATCACTGATAAAAGAATAACTTGCTTCGTACTAGCTAAAGAAGATCTATTTAAATAGTTAAAAAGGCGACTACTTCGATCGACCAACGCTGAATCTATTATTAAATTCTTTTAAAAGGATATCGTTTGCCGTTATAAACTATTCGAGAAATTAATTATCGATAAAAGACTCGAGAATAAAGCAATTGCTAAGGCCTTCGCTATTAAGTACGAAATCAAAAGGGTTTAAATCTCGAGCTATAATTTAAAAGCAAATAAAATGATTAAGAGAAGTTATAAAGACATCTTAGATAGCTTATCGAAAGTCATAAATAAAAGATTCAAAGATTAAGTTCGCAAATTTAATAAAATGCTTTTTGCGGTCCGGACATCGATATACGTATTTACTAGAATTATCCTTTTCTTCTTGAACTACGGACGAAAAGCTAAGCTACTTTTAAAGTTACGATAACTAATTTAAAAGTTATTGTTATAACAAGAAGTTCGATCTTGCGTTAACTTGCTTGCTATAAAGTTTAAACAATTGAAACTTCGAAACGAAGATATCGACGAGATCATCTTAAAAAAAAAACGCTATCGACTTGCCGTTAAAGCTACTTAAGAACGAGTTAAGGTTTTTAAGTCGAAACTTATTAAAAAGAAAGATTTAGTATTGCTTTACGACGTTAAACGCAGTATCGATATGTCCGCGGATACTAAGCTGGATTATAAATAGCTAAGACTTTATATCGTTTTTAAAGCTTACGATAAAAGATATTATAAACTTTAAGAAACCGATAAGATTAAGCTTAAAAGCACTTTTGCAGCTAACCGCTTTAAACGATTTTATCGCTGCGATTAAACTTTTTTTCCTTTTGATAAAGACGACGAAAAAAAAGAAAAAGACGATTCGAGTTCTTTAGATAACTCGGACCTTAACGAATACGAGCTTTCCGACGACGGCAAAAATAAACTATTCAACTTAAAAGTGATCCTTAAACTTAAGCTTATTAACTTCTAAATCATTTTCTTAACACTTTCGAAAGAATAAAAACTAACTTATAAAACTATTTCTTAATCTATTTCTTTTATTTTGTTTTTTTTCTTACTTTCTTATGCTCTTTTTATTCTACACTTATTCTATAAAAGGACGTGCCTTCAATAATCACTCTTTTTGTTTTAGTAAAGAAAGGTATTTCTTACGTTTATTCTTTTACCTTTAGACCTGCCTTTCATTGTATTCTTTGTTCTTTTCTTATTCCTCTTACTTTACTAGCTATTTACTTGTCTTATACAAATTGTTTTTATTATTTAATTGTTTTTCATTTGTTTTAAGCTTATACGGCTATTTCTTATTTCTTATTTAAAATTGTTCTTTTGTTTTAAGCGTGTTTAATCACGTATATTCGAAGGTGAACTGCTATTAAGAAGAATAAGTCCTTTTTATAAATGTACTTATATAAAAAAGCTCTTTCTTCTTTCTTTTTAACATTTTCTCTTTTTATATAATAACAATTATAATAATACTATTATTACTTCCTTTTTATAACTATACAAAACCATACTAATACTAACGACTTTAATCATTACTTAGTTAATTACTATTATTATTAGCTTTTATTCCGCTATCTTATATTTAGCTCGTAAACCGTAGTTCACGAGTCAAATATGCTTTTTAAATCAGCCGCCGTTAAAAGAAAAGCTTTTATCCGAGATGCATTTTTTAGCTCACTAATAAGCGAAGAGCAAGCTGCTTTAACTCGATAATCGAGTTTCGAATTAAAGTTCGAAAGACGAGTTATTAAGACTTTCGATAAGTTCTTTTAAACTTATTATTAAATAAGCAACTTTAATCAATTAGCTATGCTTAAAGTAGCAACTTCCGACTTTAATAACAAATTAAGTAAAGAAGACGACTTGATCTTGCAATACGATTAGTTCTTACGAGCCGAATGCGTAAAAAAAAATATAAACGCCGAAGACTTTTTTTCGACTTACGACTAGTTTATTATTAAAGTTACCGCTATCTACTCTTTACGTAATAAAAACGCCGAAAGACATAAACGAATCAAGAGAGCTCTCGACGGCGTTAAAAGCCAATTGCTATATAACGACTACCTTAAAGCTGTATGCACTTTAGTCCGCAGCGCCCGCTAATTAAGCGTTATTTTAAAGAACTGCACTTTTAACGCTTACGCTATTTAAGTTATTAACTATTATATTATTGCTTACGTCGCCTTTTAAAAGACTATAGCTAATATAGCTCGAGGACGCAAGTTTATTAAGCTTAATGCTACGATAATCAACTTTATTTGCTAGATCGTAAAAAACAAAAATAATATTAAATAAAAAGATAAGATCGCTATTCTTAACGAAAGACTTTTAAAAAAGCTAAGACTAAAGGTCTTATTATATAGCTTATTGATTTTAGCTCTCGATAATATTAAAAGCGAATACGACGAGCTTAAAAAACGTATAGAGTTTGCTAACGAGAATTAGACTTAGAATTTCGTTTTGCAAAAAAAGCCCGGATCTGAAACTCTACTCGTAAATTATAATTCACGAGTAATAAATGATTTAGCAACCGAAGCGAGACTAAATCAACCTTTTGCGCTTAAGACTCTTTTGCTTAAATCATTTATTACGCGCTTTTCGTTATCGCTAGCTTTGTTTTAAAGATCGACGTTATCTTTTGCTAATAAGCTTTCGAACGCTAAATTAATTGCTTCGATTATGTTTATCTTACGCAAATTTATCGACGCGAGCTTTTTTTTAGCTTTTAAACTTAAAGTATAACGCGACCTTCTTGAAAACTAATTGCTATTAATATTATTCGTTAAAAAAAAAGACAGCTTCGAGTACGAACTAGCTAAAGCTGTATCGAACCGCTGCTTAAGACTCGTCGAGATTAAAGATTTTATAAGTATAAACGTAGCTTTTATCAACTTTTGCTAAGACTTTTATTAATCAGCTTTCGACCGCTTAAACTTAAACGAGAATATCGATAATG